GAACTAGTGATTTCCTGAGGTATGCCCACATTAGTATTACCTGTGGAGCCTTTACACCTGTCAGACTTCTGGACTTTTCCTCAAACTAAATAGATTAACTCTCTGGAGGTGGGGTTTGGACATCTGCAATTTTAAATCCTCTCCAGAGGGTTCTAATGTGCATTCAGGTTCGTGAACTACTATAAGCAACTTGCAACTGGAAAAAAAGTCTGGAGACTATAAATAACTTGCCCTAAATCACAAGACTGGTGAGTTCCATGCTCATGTGTGAAATAATTAGACATAGAAAATGTCTTGGATCTTGAGGTAGAATACTTTACCTATGTATTTAAGAAGATTCCAGGTGAACTAAAGACAGATAATACCTCATATGTAATAGAATACTTCCCATCTAAACAGGTGGGATGCAAACCTCAAAACTAGCAGGACACCAGAACCATCTGGGGAGATTTTTAAAATAAGATTCCTGGTCCCATCTCACACCCAGAGACTCAGAAGCTGTGTATTATTAACAATCTTTCAAATGATTTTTATGCATATGATCTAGGAAGTTTCAAAGGCATATGCATGTTTGAGAACTGCTAGTTTAGGACAGGATGGTTTACCAGTTATAGCAGAAACAGATAATTTTGGAAATGTATTAAAAGCATGCTCTTTTTTTGGATGGCAGGAGGGCATGGATTATTTGAAGAAATTCTAATTTCATGGCTCAAAGCCCAGAAATCGGTATTGTTAACACTTCTGGTGATTCTAGGTCAGGTGACCTAGGAAGCGTGCTTTGAGTAAAACTGAGAGGAAGCAACTGGTGTTAGAGAGGTTATTTTTAAATAAAAGTATTTTTAAAGTAAATCAAATGCATGGACATATGTTGACTATGAGTTAAAAAATAGCTAAATGTTCTAAATGAACTCAATCTAGCTTACTTAAAATTATGCTATTTTATCGTTAGCCTGGGATTGCCTTAGGTATTTCCAATGACTCCCTAAATTTTTTGCATCAATAAATATCTTCAGATTTTTGTAATAAGAATCTTCATGGTACAGAAAACTCTAAAATATTTCAAAATAATGCCCCAAATATGATTGATTTTTCTGCAGGCAGTTAAGGTGTCAGGGAGTAGTGAGTTCAAAAGTCATAGACAACTAAAGGGAGGGAGGAAATACAGGAGGAATGTCAGTTAATTGAGCACTTTCTATATTCCAAGCTCTGGATTAGGTTCTTTCCACATGGTAGTTTAAGTAATCAGTTTCATACTTTAAGTATCTACCCAGAGAAATGAGAAGGAAATCTGTATGGAATATTCTAAAAAATTACTTGGCGATGGTTATTGAAATTCCATTAGGAATTTCATCCATATATCAAATTCGATCTTAGATAAGAGTAATAGTGCTAGAAGAAACTTTACAAACAAGGTCCAGAGAGGTTAGGTGGCTTTTTCAAAATCAGTTTGTTGAACTCATAACCTAGGGTAGAACTCATATTCCAGGTTTAGCAGGCTCTTATTTAGGTTCTGTTAATCGTTTTATAAAATGCATATGAATATGGATACATTCAATATGAATTACTAAAGGGGAGAACACTTTGGATAGTAGTGAAGCATACCCATTTGCAAAATGCTACAAAATCTCTAAATGAGACATCCAGGAAAAAAAAAAATCACTTTAATTGACTGATTGCAATACAATGGAATGAAGTTAGGAGAGAGACTATATTTCTCTCCATGTGGTTTGGTAATAGATATCTGCCCTTCACAGTGCTTGCACTTTATACTCTCCTTAAATACCAATTTTCTTTCCTATTAGAAACAGTTGATATGTTACTAATATTTGCATAGAATGTTAACGTGATCCAAATCCTTTCTAATCTTTCTTGCGATGTTACTTCTTTTGATGATTTACAATGTGGTAAGATAGAAAGGAGTTAAAATGCCTTACTTTCGCAACCAGGCGACAAACTGACTAATCAAATAAATATAAAATATCATCTCCAGTTGGTGCCAAAAAACACCATCAGTACTCTTAAAAAATATTTTACGACAACTAATGACTTTCATTTATTTATTCAACAAATATTTGCTATGACCCTCCTGTACATTAGGCACTGTGCTTATCCTTTAGGTTCTGATGTTTGTTATATTTAACAGCTTGATTGTAATGGTTAAGAAGTTTTCTAAAATGAGATCAGAGTTCAAGGGAGCTCAAAGATATGATCAAACACAGTCATAAGGTAAGGACCTGAAAGTTGTGGTAACTTTAATTCATGCAAAAAAAAATTCTAGGTGATTACCTTAAGACTCATGGAATCTAGTTTAAAAATAGACTGACAAAAATATCAGAGGCATAGTTTCCTATTCTTTTCATATTTAACCTCCAATTGGAGGCAAGAATTGAAAGGCTCAGCAAATAATTCCTAAATATTCTGTTGCTTTACACATCAAATGCTCTGAGCTTTCTAAGCCCCTCACAATTAAAAAAAAAAAAATTCTGCACAATCTGAGATTATCAGGAATGTTACAGTAAATATAACTATTTTAAGCATGTATTTGTTTCCCACTAAGATGATTTTTTTTTCATTTTCTGCTTCATATTGTCAGATATACAGCTGTCATAATATATATGGCTGTCAGGCTCTCATGTCTTTCTTGTTCAGGGTGTGGTACTCTGGATGTGGACAATTCAGTATATATTCTTATTAGTAAGGTCTATAATGACTAATATTTATTTGTTCTTACTGATGACTACAATAATTAATATTTAAATATTTAGAGTATTGAAGGTAATAGCTTTTCAATATTTTGAAATAAAACATTTTAAACGGTCTGTTCCCTTTTTGTGTCCACAATTTAATTCCAGGCATAATTATTTGTTTGTATAATCAACAGCAAACCAATTTTGTTGAATCAGTATATCTTTTCCATAAGTTTCTTACAAAGCATTGCAATCCACAGGATTTATTAAAGGAGTGGCTGTGAACCATACACTTTCTTGAGGGCTGTATTTCACTTAAATGTAGTGATAGCCCATTTCCTTCTGCTGAACTCAACTCCTAAAATATTTAAACCAGAACGAATGCTAACAAGTATTGGTGTTTTATTTATTGTATACCTTCAAAAGTCGAAGTTCTTCTACACGAGGTATACCATTCTATAGGTCCTAAAAATACCAATAAGACATTCACATTTGTAAAAATTGAAACATAATTCTATGATTAGGTAGGAATGCGATTGAAAAAAAAAGTGGGATTAAGAGAAATAGGATCCTTAAATCCTAATCTTAACTATTGTCACTAGCTGTGATGTGTGTGTGCATGTGTGTGTATGTGTGTGTGAATGTGTGTCTTGAATAGATACCTCTGGATCTAGTTAATTCATAAGTAGAAAGAAAAGCAATTATAATTTTTATATTATAGCAATTATAAACAACAAAATTATAATTCCTTCTAGCCCTAAAACTCACAGATCAATGGACCAGAGCTAAATGGTTCCACTGAGTCGTTTAATTATTTCACTTCAAATTTAGGAAACAGTCTTCTGGACTTAGTAATGGGGTTTCAATGCACCTGTTAGACACTTAGTAGTACTGCCTCGACTTGGGTCGTATTATCAGTGTGTGATTATAGTCATAGTCCAACAAAGAGCCTAAATTTGTAGTCAACAATAGAGACAATGCCTTTAGGTCTTTCAGTCCTTTCAAATCATGAACATTCACTAGAGCCAAGGCGAGTTGAAATAATATTGAATGCTTTTCTGCCTTCAAAAAAGCAGGTGGCCCAGACACAGTGACTCATACCTGTAATCCCAGCACTTTGGGAGGCTGAGGCAGGTGGATCACTTGAGGTCAGGAGTTCAAGACCAGCCTAGCCAACATGGAGAAACCCATCTCTACTAAAAATACAAAAAGTACCCAGGCATGGTGATACATGCCTGTAATCCCAGCTACTCGGGAGGCTGATACAGGAGAATCGCTTGAACCTGGGAGGCTGAGGTTGCAGTGAGCCGAGATCATGCCACTGCACTCCAGCTTGGGTGACAGAGCGAGACTCCATCACAAAAAACAAAACAAACAACAAAAAAAAGCAGGTGCTTTCTAAACTTGTTAGCAGTGTATCCTCTTTAGATCTCTATGCTTTTTACAGGTCAAAAATTTGACAAATAAATGTAAATGTATGAATTTGACTGTCTTACCAATTAATTAAATATGGATGGAGATCTTTACTTATTGAGGAGAACATCCACATAAAAATATTATTTCTTAATGCATTGTGGTTAGAAGAGGTAATACAGAGAGAATAATATATTGGGTCAAAAGAGTTAACAAAGTTTGCAACTCAGAAACATGTCAAACAGCTAAGCAATTGGGGAAATTTGCTACTTTTTTGCCCCATTAAATCAGCATTGACTCATACAAACTTCATTGAGAGTTGCACATGCATGTAAACAGTCTCAGACTCAATTGAAAGGAAGTTTTTATATGTCTGTCCAGTTAATTGTAAGCTCATTTTAGGCAGTGATAGTACCTTGTTCATCTTATCTCTGTGGGTGTTAAGGCAGTGTCTGACACTGCATTCAATTTTGGCTTAAGAAATATACCTGAGAATCAAACAATCCTCTATTCATTACAAGAATATTCCTCTGCTCAAATCTTTCTGGTGCTAAGGTGAGCTTATTCTCTCACAAGGTAGTCTGGGTAGCTGGATCTACGCCCTTTTTACTGAATTCTTTTTTAATTTTGCTGATGTCAACTTGTAATAGGACTACTAGAATAAGTCACAAATAGACCCAAATGGATGTCCTCAGAACATTCTAATTTTTGGATGGATTTTTGGCCTGAATGGAATAAAGGCACTAAAGATTATTTTGAGGAATGCTTTCCTTGAAGAATCCTTAGTGGCCCGTCTTTTTTTCACCTACTGTCTCTGCTTATATCCAGCTCTCCTCTTCTCTAGCCTTATGGAGGAGAATGCTATAGGCAGCTGCAAGTTCAGGAATATACTCTTCAAAATTTTCATGTAATGGTAGGTTTATTTTGGTTCTGTAAAGCCCTGAACATCATGGTCGTATGTGCTATGTATGAATAATTACCAAAATGGGATATAAAAGTCATCTCCAATTAGTACTTCTAAAGTAGAACTGTCACTTCCTTGAAACAAACAAACATTTTTCTGTGAATTCAATTGCATTTATTTATTCATCCAACAAATGTGCATTGAGATCTTACTCTGTGCTAACACTGTGTGTTTTCTATATATCCCCACTTTATTATATTTAGCATCTTATATTTAATTCCTTGGTGATAATTTTATTTAGGCTCTCTGAAATGATAGAACTCAAATCAAATGATAGGGCTCATCATTATGAGCCAAATCTTATATCCATATGGTAAAATAAGATGATTTTAAATAATAGGGCTTCAGAAAAAAAATCTTAAATTGATAAGTAATTAAACATTCTTCATAAATGACACCATTTATAAATATATTTATAGGTATCTTTTTTTTTGTTATTTGAGGAAATCATTTGTTTTATTATGACAATGAGTGTTATCAGTAGCAGAAAGAGAACTGTCTTCGATTTTCTAAAGTATTATTGGGATTACTTCCCAGGTGCTGAAAATCACAACAAATTGGATATTTAAAAATACTTGAATAATTTAAGATCATGAGAATAAGTAGCTGCAAATCACCTTAATGAAAATAAATGAGAAGTCTAATAGCTTTCTGAATAGAACAGTTCTGCTTTGTATATTTCTAATTCACTCCATGAACAATTTCACCTTCACAAATGTGGTAAACAGGTAAAAAATAGATCAAATAGAGACAGTTAAACACTTCGTTCAACTTCAGAGTCAAAGAGGTCAGAATTCAGTAGCAACATGTTCTTCCTTTGTTATAGTATGCAAAGTTGGAACTAGACATTATAATACTCAGTGAAAATTTTTCATTCTTTAAGATGCGCATCTTCATTTCCCAAATAGATTAAACAGCTGATCAGTGTAGAAACAATAATCAAACCACAAGCTTACATTATAGACAACTACAAAAATGTGAAAAAACAATGTTTACAAATGATAATGAAGAATAAATTACTCTCCAGTGCACATAATTAGGTATATACAGGATAATTTAAAACCAAATGGAATGATTGCTCATGCTGAGCTTTTAAAAATCTCCACCAAAATATACATGTTACCCTAGAGAGGGAGATAAAAATAAATTGTGACACAATAGTAGTATGTTGCATCTCTTCTTATCCTCAATACTTGGATGATATTTCATCAAAATATTTATCAAGTGTGCAAGTGATGAAAAATTTTAATTCCAAAACCATTTCTCTAAATTACCAACAGATTTATATTCTTGATGCCTTTTCACATGATCACAAGCCAAGCAGGCATGTGATTCCCAAAATCGTGGAAGATTTACAGTGAAATCCTTTCTCCAGTTAAAGTAACTAAGGTATAACTTATTGTTTTTGTCGACTTCCTTCAGATACTTTGCTAGCTCACTGGGAGAGTTATAATCTTCCACATGAATGAATGAATCTGCTGGAATGTAATTCTCATAGTTTTCTCTAGATGGTCCCAGAACAACAGGTACAGAGCCAGCCAGAAAAGCATTGTAGAGCTTTTCCGTGATGTAATCCTTGTGGATTGAATTTTCAAAGGAAAGATAAAATTTACAAGTAGATATGGTAGGAATCAAATTTTTATCATTGACATATTCTCCAAATGCTTGCCCATAGGTATGGATTTCAATGCTTTTGCTTAGCTCATTGTAATACTTGACCCTGGCATGCTCAGGGTTCCAGTTACTCACAACCCAGCACACCAACTTCTCTTTGCTTGGCACTTCAAACACAAAGGGATTTGTGCTCACCGTCAAGAAGCCATAAGGCACTTGGATATCTGAGTCGCGGCGATAAGTCAAAGTCAGGTTAAACAAGTGCTCAATGCCACTCTTCTGAGGAGTGTGAGTTGGTGACTCCAAATTCATCCAAATCCATTTCTGGAAGGGTGGCCTAGCTTGCTGAGGTAAATTTGTCAGATCCCAACTGATGTCTCGGTGATGGATCAGAACTGCATGGGATTTGTTGTACAGTGAACGGTCCGTTGTGAGATGGCATCCTTGGATGTTGAACATTGCTTGGCAGGATGTAAGGTCAAAGGTCTGCCCAAATGGCCACACCCACACCAGAATAGTAGTTTCATTAAAATAATCAGTTTTGGTGGAGAAGAAGTTTTTCATTTTCAGCACAGAGCTGGCTGATTCCATTGGACTGAAGATCCAGCTGTTGGTAGGTTTGATGTAAATGAGAAGACATGCCATGAAACAGCCCAGGATAATGCAGACAATTAAAAATGGGCGAAGAATTCCTTTGGATGTTGATGTCATAATTTTTTCTATGAAACAGAGAAAGACAGAAGGGGAGGTAGGGGTGGGAATGAAGAGATAATCATAAATATATTTGAGATATATTTAAAATCACAAATATGAGATAAACAGGTAGTAATCAACTGCATATTCCTTTTCAGTGTTATCAAACCATTAAGAGAAACAGAACTTTCCTCAAAGCCAAGAAACTGCTTTCAAAAGGAAGTTTCCCAAAAACTCTTCTAAAAGTACCAGCATATCTTCAAACCAAGAAACTTTTCTTTTCAGCGCTGTCCTTAACTGTTCTATTTTTATTTGCTTGTAGAAAACTGGCACAACCTAAACTGTTATCTCTAAAGCCATGACTAGAAGTTTTAGTATTTTGTAACCACATCAGATTTGTAAACATTTCCCAGTTGATATAATCACTTATTTACTCTCATATTGAGACTGTACTATAACTTTATGGTTCAGATGGAATTCAATAGAAAACTAAACTGTTTTTTAAAAAGTTACATTTTTGTTTTTCTCGTTATAAATTTATCCTCACAGTTTGCAAATGCATTACTATAATCATCCGGTAAAAAAAATGGCAACTCTTGATTTGATACATTTCTAAAAAACAAGTACACTCAGGCAAATTTTATAAATTTAAAACTCACAGTGTTTTGTTTTTATTTATATATTTTTCTTACAGTTTTCTTTGTTTACTTTTAATAATTTGTTAGTACATCCAATATCTACCAAGATGTAATAATCAAATGTTCTATTTGTATTGGAACAACTTTCTCACTTATTATATAGCTTAAGGGCTTTAAAAAAGTTTTCTTTGTATTAAGATGATATTGGTATTATAAAAATAAATGTAAACAAATTCTCAAAAAGGGCTATATTTCATGAAGAACAACTTTGATGTCAAGGATTTTAACAGATTGTGGCTAAAAAGATGAGTGAAGCCTTTTTTTTTTTTTTAAAGAAGAAAAGCGTCTTCGAGTTTTTTTCTCTTCGGCATTCATGCCTCTTTATGGGTATGAACACAAAAATATATTTGCAAAAACTGTTTCTTGATAAAATTCTCACAGATCTTTGAATTCATGTTGTTTCTCTTATGAAAATAAGGTGGCCTATAAATTTCAGACTCATTAAAGTATTTTGAAATTTTGATAGAAGCTAGGATAGAAACATTAGATGTTTCCTTCCAAAAAAGGGGAGAAATTGTCCTTTAATTACCTAAATTTATGTGAACATTAAAAAAAACTCATTCTTTTGCTATGTAGTTTTTTTTTAAAGCATATGAGACTCTCTGAGTATCTAAGCTTGACTGTGAATCCAAAGATTTTGGACATTGCATTCTAGATCACTCCCAGAACTACATTAGAATCAAGTATTGCAGCTTTCTGTCAAAGTTGGCTTCAGTTCTACAGTCAATAAGAAAATGAAAACAAAAGGTATATATTAAATATGTCTAGGAGCTAAATTATTAATCAACTCTTGGAAATACAGAGAAAATCAGGAAATAATTATGAAGGAATTTCAGTTATTCAGAATTAAATGACACTGAAGGTTCTACATGCCAAATTTTGTTGTATATTTAAACAGAAGGAAATTATAGGTTTGCATACTTTCCAGAAAAATAATAAATCGATCAACTCAAGAAGCTAGACAAAGAAAAGTGGTAAAATGCTAAAAAGTAAGAAGGAAAAATGTTAAGGTAAGGACTAGAAATTTGAAATGAATAATAATGTCACAAGTTTTGAAAATGCTCAAACTTTAGGCAAGAATAATGAAGAAAAAAGAAATTCAAATTTAATATCAAAAATAGCAAATATTTGTTGATTTAGCATGGATAAAAATGGTAGTAACTATTTTGAGTAATTTTCTGTTGAAAAATTTGAAATATTACTAAATAGTTGTATTTTTGTACAAATATTTGTAAAAGAAAATTTCTGATTCAAAAGACAACAGTTAAAGAAATGGAATTCATAAACAACAACAACTAAAAGCAAATATTAGGTCTAAATAGTTTTCCAATAATATCAACAATTCAATAAAGTGAGAATACCATCCACCTTTTTTAAAAAAATTCATTTTAGAAAATACAAAAATAAAGAAGCTTAACTCATGAGGTCAATTATAATCTTGTTACCCAAGCAAGATATGACTTTAAAAAAATAAAGTCATTTGTGTTTGTGAACACAGATGCAAAAATACAAAAATTTAGCAATAATAAGTATTGGAAATAGATCATGATGTGATTCAAGAGTAAGTTTATGGAAGTTTAGTTGCATTTGATCCTAAGTATAAATTTAACTAATTGGACCATCTGTCAATTCCATCTAGACTCCAGAATTTACAGACTGAAAAACCTTATCAGAAGGGTCTCTTTTCACTGGAAAAACATTAACTTTTAATATGCATGATTTGACTGACTGTTGCAGTGTTTTCTTCCTGTGAGACCAATGTTTAATGGTTTTTAGAAATGAAATGCTCTGATTGAAAGTTTCCTTAAATCCTTCTTGAACTGAAATGCAATGGCAAAAACTATTAAATAAATGATGTCAGTTTAATATAATCAGGTTACAACTGAAATAGCCACCATTTAATAAATGCTCACCCTTAGCCACGCCTTGTGCCAAGCATTTTACACACATCATTTCCTTTGATCCTTCCAGAACCCCTAAAAAGGACATCTTTTCTCATTCCTTCACAGATGAGGAAACTGAAGGCCAGAGATACAGGTAACTAGCTTAACCACTAGATTGTGCTCTCTCTTTTCTTCTATAATCTACTTTGAACAAATAATACAAACATGAATAATCCATTTGCTTTTGGTGTCTCAAGTTTTGTTGTCTTGATTTCCCTGGTCTCTACCTTTTATTCTGTAATTAAGAACCATTTACCCATGAGTTAAATTAAGATAAATTTCTCTTAACAAGAAGGATATCTGACACATATATATGGCACTTACCAGTGTCAAACACTGATTTGAGCACTTATATTAACTTATACACACATACACACGTATTAACTCATTATATCCCCATTTTATTGATAAAGAAACTGAGGCCCAAAATGATTAAGTAACTTGTCCAAAACCACAGAGAGTTAATGGAACAGAATACTTTTCAAGCCCAGGCCAACTGGCTTTAGAATCTGGGCACTTGATAATTAACATTTTAGATCACTGTTTCCCCAGGTTGTAGCCAGAATATGCAATCATTTTAGTGATATCAGAACGTAAGCTTTGTGAGGAGCTATGTTTTCTTCACTGCTGTATCGTTATCACCAGAAGGCAGACGCTTAGTAAATGCTGTATATCTCATATGAATGAATGGGTGAATTGCTGCATCTCAACTATGTACAGATATTATGCTTGATAGGTAACCAGATACACAAAAATGAACCAAATATGAATGAATGAATATGTACTTTGTTTTTTCCTCTGTGCATTTACCATGGAGCTCTCTATGGAATGACTCCCATTAAAATTGGCATGTGGCTATTCCTACCACTAGATGAGCAAAATCTCCCAGTCCTCTCTTTGTTTTGTCTCAAAGTTAGTATCTACCCAGAACATTTTAGTTTCATGTCTCAATTTCTCTCTCTCTCTCTCTCTCTCTCTCTCTCATTAGTCAAATGAGGAATTGGTCACTAGACAGGAACAATGTTCCTTCTACGGTGTGATTTCCAGTTTTCATGCTTCCTGGATATTTTATATAACTTGAGGTTTTCCTTGCTAACTCTCTGCTCACCCTCTCCGCTCAATTTTTCACTGCTGTCAGGGTCAATTACTAAATAACAGGGGCAGTTATTCAGTAACCCCTACTTTGTACAGAACTGTCAAAAAAGTTTGCCCCTTGGGGCCAAATTGACATCTCCTTGACAGAATCCTTTTCACCTATTCCTCATAACTAAAATTCAGTTGGATACTCACCGTGTCTTATACTGGTAATCAATACAATCTATTTTAAAAACGCCTGCAGCAGTGTTACTATAACTCACTAGAGATAGCAATAATTGTATAGCACAAAGCAAATTGTAACAGTAAATAGGATAATTAAACCTTTTCAATTATTTTTAGTAGTTTCAAGTACTATGAAAGAATGTAACTTAAAGACTTTACTATCAAAAATAATAGAATCTGCGCTAAAAGTACTGCTTAACAAGACGTGGTATGTATGATTCAATTTTCTGTTAAGAGATTACCTATAGTCATTCTTTAAGAACACACTACTGAATGTTAAAGAATGGAAGATAACTTGAAATAGAAAAAGATGAGAGTTGTAATTCTCAAACCACAGATACATATCAAGGTATTTGGAAGAAAAAATGTGAAACTAAGGAGAACAGGAGGCTCCCTCAAGGAGAGGCAGTCCTACTGTATGTTTGGATTTTGCGGGGAGGTAGGCATTGAATCCTTATTTTAAATGGAAAGAAACAAGAGCATACTATAGAACAAAGTTCAATGCTTGCTTAAAATGTGGAGATGGAACAGGATAGCTGAGCTTGTAACTTGTCACTTGGGGCATTATACCCAGATTGCAGTCACTACCTACCTCTTCAACCCACCTCCCCTATCTCTCATTAGCAGGATGGTGGAGTTGGAAGAGATTTTCCCTTATGCCATTAGGAGTTGTTGGGTCAGCACATTTGACAGTCACTGTATAGTATATTTACTATTGTGTGTGTGTGTGTGTGTGTGTGTGTACTATCAAACCATTCCTAATAAGACTTTTTGATAGCTGGTAAAAATATGTGAAATACATAGACTATTTGAACAGAACTTTAGATCAACCTGAGGATCTTCAAGATAAATTCATACCGACTCCAAAGACAACAAATGAATCACTGACAAATTGAAGAGTGAATTAAAGTTAGCAAAGGCCTCAGAAGCAACCTCAGAAACAAAGTTTCTGTCTGACTTTCTTCTGCCCTCCTGTCTTTCACCACTCACTATCTCCTAAAGCAAGCAGTACAAACTAGAATCCCTCTTTCCCAAGGCACTCATAGAAACAAGAACCCTTTTCCT